GTATTGCTGTCACGATCACCAACTGGAGTGCCCATGAGCTCCACCAGTGGGCACTCCATCCCTGACTTTTGCCATTCACCCTGGACTACATTCCCCATAATCCTTTGCCGGACTCATCATCTATTGCATCACCTGACACTCATTAGATCTCATCATCAGTTCACAGCTGTCTCACATTAGAAGGACTTTAAAAGATGCCCACACACTCGAACACTTCGCTGGTGATTGTTTAGCCTGTAATGATTCCTAGTTTCTGTTATCCTGCCCGTGTTTCCTTGTTTTGCCTTGCCTTTGTGTATCTTGGACTGTTTATCTGGTTTTTATGATTGTTTTGCTGCCTGCCCTGACCATTGCCTGTTTACGGATTACTCTTTGTCTTTGCCTGGGATATTATTGTTTGCTGGTACTGGACCCTGCCCGTCTGTGTTATGTTTACGAATAAAGCCTGTATTTGGATCCTCAACTCCGTTGTCACTACGCCTCCTTCTTTACAATTGCATATTTAAATATTCATACAGAAACATATTCTGGAGGCAATCAAATTTGAGTGAAAATCATCAAAATCGCTGGCGGTGGCTGGCAACTTTTTTCAAAAATGCTGGCGGGGAAAGAGTTAATATCCTAATGATTTTTGTCATAAAAGAAAAATTGATAATTTTGACCCATACAATGTAGTTTTGGCTATTGCTACAAATATACCCCAGCGACTTAAGACCATGAACTTATTTCCCAAATCAAAGTACATGAGATGGATTTGATTCATATGATCAATCATCATCAATTTAGCAGCAGTGGTTAGCACACAAATTACAAAATATTTATTAATCTTTTGAATTTGCTTTTATTTTTATATTTTCACTTTTCATTTTAATACATTTTTTAGTCATTTTGTTTTGTGCTTTTGTCATTTTCGTTTGAAAAATTATTTGGTTTTGATGGCTTTTAATTGTTGATTTTGTAGCTGTATTTTATTTTATATTATTATGTCAATTTTTTTTACCAATTGTACAGTCCTTAGGACTACATTTTAGCTGTAAAGGGATCTATAAATAAACTACTTTTTTTTTTTTACTAATTATTTAGGATAATTTTTTTCTTTATTTCAAGTTAGTTCGTTCCGCTTCATATAAATATATATATATATTTTTTTTCAATTAGTAATTTTAGTCCTTCAACATAAAGAAAATTAGAAATGCTGCCTTGGAAACTAACTGAAATAAGTTTTTCAAATTTTATTTCAGCTTTACTTCAACTAACAAAAATGTTTTTTTATTCTTATAATTGTTAACGATAATAACCCTGTTTAGCAGTTGTGTAAAAGTCCCGCTTATTTGATTTTTTTTTATGATTTTTTTTTATACTGATCAAGATGGCTTTTAATTGTTGATTTTGTAGCTGTATTTTATTTTATATTATTATGTCAATTTTTTTTACCAATTGTACAGTCCTTAGGACTACATTTTAGCTGTAAAGGGATCTATAAATAAACTACTTTTTTTTTTTTACTAATTATTTAGGATAATTTTTTTCTTTATTTCAAGTTAGTTCGTTCCGCTTCATATAAATATATATATATATTTTTTTTCAATTAGTAATTTTAGTCCTTCAACATAAAGAAAATTAGAAATGCTGCCTTGGAAACTAACTGAAATAAGTTTTTCAAATTTTATTTCAGCTTTACTTCAACTAACAAAAATGTTTTTTTATTCTTATAATTGTTAACGATAATAACCCTGTTTAGCAGTTGTGTAAAAGTCCCGCTTATTTGATTTTTTTTTATGATTTTTTTTTATACTGATCAAGACTCAAGCTTAAATTTATGATATTCATGAGAGATGAGATATTATTGCTGCATATTATTGCATAATCTTGTATGTGTTACTGAAATGCAATCTTGGCAATTTGTATTCAAGTAGATACAAGCTGCGAGTGTCGTACCATCTTTCCTGACGTCTGCGGGGATGTTGGTGATGTTCAGGTCTTCGATGTCCAGCTGCCAGAGGTTGGAGAGCTGCCCGAGCTCAACAGGAAGATCCTGGATACCTGGATTACTGCAGAGACAGGAAGGATTCAAATCAAAGCTACGAAAGTCTAAACAAAACATCATCACATCCTGTGAGTTTCTCAAGCAGGAAGCAGGAGAGATGAACAAGCCCTTTTTGATATTGCATATTAGTTTGACTTTTGCAACTCTTGACTTTCAGCCACACTGTGAAAACCCTGAATCACCAACTGTGGGCTCTGCTCCAAAGCCTGGCTGTTTAACGGAATTTTAACCTCTTAAGTGACTGAACTGAAAGGCTCTACATAGTCAGCATCTCTGTGCATTATACGAATAGCGTTCCTCACTTTACTGTACACACAGGAGACTTGACTTGCAATTGATTTCAGCAGTTTGGCATTAATATGTTCCTTAGATTACATCTAATAAACAAAACACAGAAATATCGAATATAATATTCATTTTTAATTAAATATTAACAATTTCTTAAATTAAATTATTGCACAAATAAAATATTATTATTAATAATTAAAATTTGATCATTTTTATTTCTATCTGCCATTTTACTGCGCTTATCACAATGCATTATGGAATTGTTTTCTTGTCTTTTATAAATTTCATTATACATTATAAATTAATACATGAACATGTAAATATTCATTTGAGGTGAGATTATATTATTATGTGAGAAGAAAGAGTGATTTGATTTTGATTTTGATATGTACTTTTGACATTTTAATTTAAATTTATTTTAATAAAAACCTTGAAATTAACTTAAATTATTGTACTATTTTTAAGACTTTATTTTTAGTTCAAATAGAGTAAGAATTACATATGAATAATATTATAATTACGATTATATATTAATAATTTAGATTTCTCTAAGCACCAATTTTACTGAGCTTGTCAGAATGCATGATTGTCATAATGGTTTTCATAAATGACATTATAAAAAATATATAAAATCCTTCAAATGAATAACTAATGAAGATTTATTTTATTATGCGAGAAGAAAGTGTGATTTGATTTGATTTTTTATATTTTTATATTACAAAAATTTCAATTGCTTTCTATTTGAATATATTTTATAATGTAATTTATTCCTGTGATCAAAGCTGAATTTTCAGCATCATTCCTCCAGTCTTCAGTGTCACATGATCCTTCAGAAATCAGTCTAATTAATAAATTAACTTTTATTTTTATTATGCGAAAAGAAAGAGTGTAATAACTAATGAAGATTTATTTTATTATGCGAGAAGAAAGTGTGATTTGATTTGATTTTTTATATTACAAAAATTTCAATTGCTTTCTATTTGAATAGATTTTAAAATGTAATTTATTTCTGTGATCAAAGCTGAATTTTCAGCATCATTCCTCCGGTCTTCAGTGTCACATGATCCTTCAGAAATCAGTCTAATTAATAAATTAACTTTTATTTTTATTATGCGAAAAGAAAGAGTGATTTGATTTAATTATATATATATATATATATTTAGTTTTCATCTTAATTTTAATTTAAGTTTTAGTCATTTGAAATTAGAAAAAAAATTGAAATTATTCCTTGGTAACTACCTAAAAAAGTTTCTTATCTAATGTTTATATCAAAAATAATATCTGAATGCTGCGATTGACCAATCACAATCAGGTATTCCTAAGAGATGTGTAATAAAGTGGGGGAAAAATGAAGAACTCCATTTCCCATGATTCCCTGCGACTCACTTGGACAGATAGAGTTCGGAGAGGTTCTTGAGGGCACACACTGACGGCGGCACACACTCCAGCTGGTTGTCATTCAGGAAGAGAACTTCCAGAGAATCCCGCAGGATTACAGGAAACTGAATGGGACAAACTGCCAAAAGAGAGCCAGAGGAGATGAGAACCTCATCAAAACCACATAACATAGAAATCAAATCTCTGGAGACGAATGGATGGTCACTAACTCTAATGTAGGCCTACTACGAGACTGTAGAAACGTGTCCATATTTGCACGGCCATCAGAGCAGCTTTGCATTAATATTTAACGAAAACCCTTAATTATAGTTGCATCCATAAAGTGATAAAAAGGGATATAATATATAATATAAAATATTTGCAGAGAAGGCAATCCCATAATGCATAATATTCACAATAAAGAAAAAGCATCTGAACTTATAATGGATTAGTTTCCCTCCGTTTTATCTATTTCTATGCTTATTAGAGTTTCACAGCATTAGCATTTTCCAAAAGAAATAAAACACACACAAATATATATATATATATACACACACACTGACTAAAATTAAAAAAAAATTATTAATAATTTTAAACTGTAAAATAATAATAAAATGCAAAAGTTTGGGATAAGTAAAATTTTCCAAAAGAACACACACACACAAATATTATATATATATATATATATATATATATATATATAATTTTTTTTATTACAAATAATTTAATAAATAACAATAATAATAAACTGCAAAAGTTTGGGATAAGTAAGATTTTAAATGTTTTTGAAAGAAATCTCTTCTGCTCACCAAAGCTGCATTTGATCAACAATACAGTAAAAACTGAAATACTGTGAAATATTATTACAATTTAAAATAGCTGTTTTCTATTGTAATATATTTTAAGATGTAATTTATTCCTGTGATCAAAGCTGAATTTTCAGCATCATTCCTCCAGTCTTCAGTGTCACATGATCCTTCAGAAATCATAATATGCTGATTTGCTGCTCAAGAAACATTTCTGATTATTATCATTGTTGAAAACATCTTAATATTTTGTGGAAACTGTGATACAATTTTGTTAAGGATCCTTAAATTAAAAGAAGTTCAAAAGAACACATTTATTTAGTCTTTCTTGATCAACGTAATGCATCTTTGCGCAGTAAAAATATACATTTCTTTTGAACAATAGTGTACATTTTGTTGAATCACGAGCAAAAATGACTGTGACCGCCCGCCTTATTGCCTAAAAACACTTAAAAGTCTAATATGAGTCAGACTTTTGGATCCGTCTGAAAGGGTTTTAGTTTAGATTCTGATGCCATTAAAACAATCCACACAGTCTCAACAAAACATGATTACCACGGTGATATTACTCTGCTTTCTCTGAGGTGAGTTTGGTCATTACAGTGTGAAACAGACATGTCATGGCAACGTGACCGCAGTGTTTGAGTGACCTGTACCTGGCTCTGGGTCTCGTCTGTGCCATGTAGTGAAGAAGGCCAGTTTCCTGGTTTTGGTCGGCTCTCCCGTTCTAAAATGACATTCAGAGAGCAATCGATTTCAGATATTCACAATCTCTATATACAACCACAAGGACCGTGATGATGTACTAGCGAACTAGAAGAGCAATGAAGACACATGCCATTTTAAGGCCCCAAAAATATGTACCAAAATGTAGGCAACATAATTATGCTGCTTTCTAAGATATGCTTTTAGCCAAATTACAAGACAGCATTACATGTATTCTTTGCTAAGAAGGCAATTCCATAATGCATTATATGCACAACACAGAAAATATAAGCAATGTACCTAAAATGGACTATTTTACCTCGATTTGACCTGTTTCTATGGTCATTTGAGTTTCTCGGTATTAGCACTGTCCAAAAGAAAACAGCACACAAAATAAAACAGGAAAATAATAACAAAAAATTTAAAAATAAAAACTGTAAAAATAAAAATAAACAAAAACAAATAAAAGCAACAACAAAATAATATAAAATCAATAATAAAATAAAATAAAAACATTTATAATAATAATAATAATAATAATAATACAATTAACTAATTATTAAAATATATTACAAATAAAAATATAATATGAATAAAAACAAAATACAATTATTATTAATAATAAAACAAAACAATAGTAAACACATTAATATCATTATTATTAATAATAATAATAATAATAAGGAATAAACTAAACTAAACTAAAATTAAATTAAATAAGGTGAATAGTGTTATGCAAATAAATTATAAAGCAGCATCACATGTATCCTTTGCAGAGAAGGCAAGCTCTTTATACATAATGTGCAAAATACAGAAAAACGTATCTAGTAATAGTTCAATGTATTAAAAAAAATTACATTTTGACCTATTTTTATGCTTATTAGAGTTTCACATGGTTAGCATTGCCCAAAAGAGGTTTCTGTAGAAGGCATAATAACAAACAGCCTTCAGATTGGGAGTGTGCTTAAGATGCATTAAAATGCTGCCTATGTAGGCTCCCTAGGTTTTGGAACCAAGCCTTTCTGTGTTTGTGTGTGTCTGTGTGTGTCTGTGTGTTTGTATGTATGTGTGTATATATGTACATTTACATGTGTGTGTGTGTGTGTGTGTCGGTGTCTATACATTTACATGTGTGTGTATATATACACACACATGTAAATGTATAGACACCGACACACACACACACAGAGACAGACACACACACACACAGAGACAGACACACACACACACAGAGACAGACACACACACACACAGAGACAGACACACACACACACAGAGACAGACACACACACACACAGAGACAGACACACACACACACAGAGACAGACACACACACACACAGAGACAGACACACACACACACAGAGACAGACACACACACACACAGAGACAGACACACACACACACAGACAGACACACACACACACATAAATATATATATACACATTTACATGTGTGTGTGTATATACATTTACATGTGTGTGTGTGTGTGTCTGTCTCTGTGTGTGTGTGTGTGTGTGTATATATATATATATATATATACACATTTACATGTGCGTGTGTGTGTTTGTGTCGGTGTCTATACATTTACATGTGCGTGTGTGTGTGTGTGTGTCTGTGTACATTTACATGTGCGAGTGTGTCTGTGTCTATACATTTACATGTGCGTGTGTGTCTGTGTGTGTGTGTGTGTGTCTATACATTTACATGTGCGTGTGTGTATGTGTGTCTGTGTCTATACATTTACATGTGCGTGTGTGTGTGTGTGTCTGTGTCTATACATTTACATGTGCGTGTGTGTGTGTCTGTGTCTATACATTTACATGTGCGTGTGTGTCTGTGTCTATACATTTACATGTGCGTGTGTGTTTGACCTACTTCCCCAGTTGGTTTCTGGACAGGTCTAGTGTTCGCAGACAAGAGCATTTCCATTTGTTTGGAGAGGGCAGAGTGGAGATTTGGTTCCCACACAACTTCAGAGAGACGATGGCCTAAAACACACACAGTGATCTCAGTGACACACACACCTGCAGCTACAAACATGAGCCTGCACTCACTGCTACTTTAAGTCATCTCGCAAGCGTGGACTTATTACTGTTATTAGCACATACGAGACATTTATCTGTTATGTAAAGAGTGTTATTGCTTCATTGCTGACGAATGATAAAAGACATATGCAGGTTTAGTTTTCTACAATGGATTTCAGGTAAATATTTTTAGTTTTCTGTCTAATAAAGTATTTCAGTGTGAGAAATCGTTGAAGAGTCTGTGAAAAGAAATCATGAGGAGTGCGGGAGTGAACTGTCAGAATGAATCAAAATGAAGCGCAAACAAATTCAGGGCTTTTTGCAAACCTGTTTGTCAGATTAGATCAAAAGTGTGATTTATTTGTAAATCTGGCATCAGTTCTGATTCTAAATAGCAGACAGAAAACACATGATTGCAGAAATATTATCAGAAAAAATTATTTTTGACTATTAGATTAGTATTTACTTAGTAAATTAGTAACGCCCCTGCTTTATACTCTCAAATGACTACAAATAAAATTACAAATAAAAACGAAATTAAAATAATAATAAAAGAAAAACATAAAATAAGACAACAAAATAAGATAAAATAAATCCAACAACAAAATAATAAAGTTAAATAATTAATAAAAATAAAATAAAAAAGTAAAAAAAAATAAAGAAAAAAAAAATAAAACAAATAAAATAATTAAATAAAAAATAAATAAAATAAAATGAGAAAAAAAACAACAAAATCTAAAAATAAATAATAATATAAACTAAACTAAAATAAAATACTATGTAAGTCTATGCAATCTATAACACATAGTCAGTTTTGACTCCTTCTTCCCGGTGTAATCATCGCCTTCTGCTGTTTAAAAGAGCACAGATTTTCAAGTCAAACTGTTTGAGCATTAAATTGAATTTTAAATGACGAAACTCCCATTTCCCTTCTTACGCTTTCTTTTTTCTAGTTTGCAATCTCTATTTCTCTCTCTGCCGTTGGCTTTGTGTTGACATCTTGCCAGTTAACTTGTGAAACTGACAGTGAAGTTCATGAATACTCAACAACTATAAAATCCTGTCCGAGCTGCTCAGCCGTACGTTTGTAAACACTTCACGACACACTCGGAGCCTTTTGGCTTATTCGTGTAAAAAGCTATTATTATTAAAGCTGAAGCTTTTCTCTGATTCAGTGGTGTCTATCATGAGGAGATAAGTTCAGATGTGCTGCAGGTGACGTTTACTGTGAGCACAGCGCCACCATGAGCTCAAGACAATATGAAACTGGTGGACTGAGTGCTGCTAGTTCAAATATACAATTCCATATAAAAATATATTTTAAAAATATATAAAAAACCAAACTCTTTCTTAGTGAATTAAAGGATTTGACCAGGAAAAATATTAGTGGAAGAATCTTACAAAAACCTGTCAAAAACACGCCTGATGACCATATTTCACAATATTTCTGAAGAAAGAATTTAAATTTAGTTTTTTAACATTGTGACATTCCTGTAAAATCTCATTACCACAATGAAAAAAATTTTAAAACATTAATTGAAATATAAAGTATTGCTTATGCGGATTTAAATAAATAAAAAAACACTATGTTAGAGGTAAAAAAAAACTTTTTTTTAATATAAATAATTGTTTATTTTTTTAATTATAAAAATGTATTCTTTTATTTTTTTATTAAAATTAATAATAATAATAACAAAACTACTAGACTTATTACAGCAATGTGATTAATGAGAATAATGACATTCAGATTATTGAGAATAATGGGCATTAAGAAAATAAAACTTTAAAGTTTATAGACTCTTCATAGACTCATGCATAATTATTTTTCTTTGGGCAAAATATTATAATTTCTTGTGATTTCAGCACATTTCCTCCTGTAAACTCCCATTATGACAATGCAAATAATAAGATACATCCATTAAAATTTAAAGCATTTTTATGCTGATTTAATAAAAAAGTTATTTTATTTATAAAATAATTTTAAAATTTTTCAATACTATATTTTTATTTTATTTTATTTGTAAATAAAAAAAAATAAAAAAAATTCTTTATTACAGTCATGCAATTAATGAGAATAATAACATTGAGAAGATTGAGAACAATAATTGGCGATTTAGGAAAGAAAAAAAAACACTATAAAGTACAAACATCCAGACACATGTGTAATCTCTTTGGTCAAAATGCTGTATCTTATTTTAATTCTTGTGATTTCAGCACATTTCCTCCCGTTCCTTACCTCTAGCTCAAATATGTATGAGGGCAGCTCCTTCAGGACGTTCTCGGAGATGTCCACCTCCATCAGATGAGTCTTCCAGAAGATGGAGATGGTGTCAGGAAGGAACTCGATCTGGTTGCTTGAAGCTTTGCAGATTTTCTGTGGGGAAAATGATCTCTGATAATCCTCATATGTTGACAAAAAATACCAAGCTATTCACTGATAATACACGGCATTCATTTAACCCAATCACATCAGATGCGGTTGAAATTGATGCATATTTGTCTTGTAGAGGCATCATAATGTTTCATGTATAATATGCTTTGCTTATGATCCTTCATTTAAGTATATGTTGATTATCGAGGCCGGCAGACAGCACTGAACGTGTGTGATCACATGAAGGACGTGTCTGTGCCGGCAACCCACCAGAGGACAGGCCCAGGGGTCGGGGAAGCTGCTGAGTTTGTTTCTGCTGATGTTGAGAGAGCTGAGGGCCTTCAGACAGTGCAGGATGGAGGAGGGCAGGTCCGTCAGGCTGTTGTCGGACACATCCAGCTCCTGCAGCTTACGGAGGCCGATCCAGTTCGTGCCTGCAGCAGAACGCCGGCTGTTAGCTAATACAGATCTGTGATGATAAGCACTTAAAAATCACGAGATGCTGAACAACCAGTCCGAGTAACTGTGCGCATTTACATACACACATTAAGCAGATGCCTTTATCTAAAGCGACAAACAAAAGAGGAACAAAGCAAGCGTACTTGCTGTGTTTATTGCATAAAACATAAAATAACAGCGCAAAATCAAGTGTTTACTACAGAGGCCCAAAAAAAGATAAAACATTTTTTTTTAAATAATCGGGAATTATATTTTGGAAATGCTTAAAACATTTTTTTTTTAATAAAACTTAATCATGTATTATTATTAGTATCAATTATTATTGCTTATACACACACACACACACACACACACACACCCCACACACATCCTACACACACACACACACACACACACACACATATATATATATATATATACACCACAGGAACCGCACACCAGCTCCTCTAATACACATTATTCTCCTTTTACTGTGATTTTGATGTTATTTGTCAGTGTTTATGCACAGGTATGAAGTCTCGTCCTGAATACATTTATAAAGAGGAACTGGCGCTAAAACTTCCGTAAAATGAAGCCGCAGCACTGTTCACGAGCCCAGCGCTGACCTTAAAACAATTCAGCGGGATGAGTCTCACCTGCAGCAGCGTCCCGTCCGCAGGAGCGTCTTTGTCCTGCAGGTGGCGCTGTCTGAGCAGCTGCCTGCTGAAGTCTGCGTGATCCATCAGCGTGTACGAGGAGAAACTGGCTCCATTGTCCAGCAGAAAACACGCGACCTCCTTATTTGCTGAGGAGAAAACCAGCTTCAGTTAGAGCAGGAAGAGCTTTCACTTTATTTCTCCACACCTGAAGTGAAAGAGGAAGTGAGCGCCGGGGAGGAAGTGCATGTGTGTGCTGGAGCAAAGCGGGAAAACCTGATCAAAATTCCCCTGCTTTCACTTTTCAGGACCAGTGTACAGTTCAGGAGGATAAAGCTTAACTAGTTCAGTCCCTGACAGAAAAATCCAAAAGTGATGAGTTAATAAATGTCCTGGTCAAACCAAATCACATCCATCACTTTAAGAAATTCAATAAAACTAGAGCAGGGTTCCCAAAACTGGGGTTTGGGAGTTGATCATAATTCATTAAAGGTAATAATTCATAAATCAACCTTAACCTCAACCTCAATAAATCATTAAGGTAATAATTCATTAAAATTATATATTAAAAAAATCATTATTAAAAAATTATATATTATTTTGATAAAAATATATTTAAAAAGACAATTTTATTTGATTGCTTTCATGTCATGTGACCATTAACCTACATTAGAGAGCTGCAAACAAGTCGTGGAGAAGTCGTGGCCTAATGGTTAGAGAGTCGGACTCATAACCCAAAGGGGTTCGAGTCTCGTACTGGCAGGGATTGTAGGTGGGAGGAGTGAATGTACAGCGCTCTCTCCCACCTTCAATACCACGACTGAGGTGCCCTTGAGCAAGGCACCGAACCCCCAACTGCTCCCCGGGCGCCGCAGCATAAATGGCTGCCCACTGCTCCGGGTGTGTGTTCACGGTGTGTGTGTGTTCACTGCTGTGTGTGTGCACTTTGGATGGGTAAATGCAGAGCACTAATTCCTAGTATGGGTCACCATACTTGGCCACATGTCACATCACAAAAAAAAAAGTCACAAACAAGCAAAAAAATTAAATGACTGAAATATTCTCTTAAAATCTCAGGGTCATTTCACGTATATTCAGAGGTGTTCAGCTGAGAGAAAAGTTAGTACAAATTTTAAAGTAACATATCACTGATAATTTTGTTTATGTATTTACCCCTTTATCTGAAAAATGTAACATTTTGGTAAAAGTTTACAATCAGTTCTCATTTGTTAACATTAGCTAAAATCAACGAACAACGAGCAGCATTTCGTTTACAGTATTAATCTTTGTTAATGTTATTTAATAAAAAATAATTTGTTCATTGCGTTCATGTTGGTGCATTATTAATGTTAACAGCTATAACTTTTGATTTAAAAAATTTATTAGTTAATGATGAATTAAACATGAAGATTAATAAAGGTTGTAGGAGTATTTCTCATTGTTCATGTTAACTAACAGAGGTCAGTTTATATGAATGCTTAAATGCTTAAAATAAAATATTTTACATTAAAAATAAATAATTAATGATCAAAAAACATCAATTGTATTAAAAAACTATCAGTTTCTTTTAAAATAATACAAATGAAATATAATGCATTTGTAGTTTTGGTCAAATAATGTGCTGCTTAACAATTATTATAAATAGTAATATATTTCTGTCAAAATTTCATTAAGTTGAACTATACAATGCCGTCCGGAAATCACGGGGCCCTACATGGATAACTAATGTTAACAAATGAAAACTTACAGTGAAGTGTTCCCTCAGTGATTCACATCAAAAGTGACATATAAAAAAAAGCATAAGAATGCAATCAAATTGGTGTGAATGAGCACTGAAGGAATTGATTCAGAATATATATATATTTGCCAATATTTGCTCCTGGTGTGAATACATATTTAGTCCTTCCCAAATGTCATGCATTATTGCCTTATAGTTTAACAGACATTCTCTGCAGTAATAATGAGAAGTATGTGATGAGCAGAAGCCTACAGTACCTGCCTGTGCTGCGGCGTACAGGGGCAAACCGGTGATGATGGCAAACTCTCCTGAATGAACAGCGCAGTCCTCGGTGTCAGCATTGTATGTATGAACCAGCAGCTTCACCACCTCTAGATGACCCTGCTGACACGCCGTAGCCAACATCCAGTTCAGCAGATCCTTACGGACGCACGGACCTAATGAAAAAGAGAGTCGTTTCCGAAGTGGAGAAAAGTACTATATTTTAACATGTGAAATATAAAACTGACAAACACAGTTTTTTGGTCTCTGGAATAACATGCACCAATGAATCATGTATAATAAGACCTGGAATATGCATTAAAGGAACACTTGAAAATTTGCCGAAAATGCACTCATCCTCAGGCCATCGAAGATGTAGATGAGTTTGTTTCTTCATGGGAACTGATTTGGAGAAATGTAGCATTGCATCACTTGCTCACCAATGGATGCTCTGCAGTGAATGGGTGCCGTCAGAATGAGAGTTCAAACAGCTGATAAAAACATCCCAATAATCCACAAGTAATCCACACCGCTCCAGTCCATCAGTTAATGTCTTGAGAAGTGAAAAGCTGTGCTTTTGTGAGAAACAAATTCATCATTGAGACAGATCAAGCCAAAACAGTTCTAAACAAACTGTTAGTGGATTTTGATGTGAGAGACAACAGGAGTAGGACTTTTTCACTGGACATGTTATTATGTGAGTAACGTGAGTGACGTGAGTCACGTGACATGTGGCCAAGTATGGTGACCCATACTAGGAATTAGTGCTCTGCAGTTAACCCATCCAAAGTGCACACACACCGCAGTGAACACACACACACCGTGAACACACACCCGGAGCAGTGGGCAGCCATTTATGCTGCGGCGCCCGGGGAGCAGTTGGGGGTTCGGTGCCTTGCTCAAGGGCACCTCAGTCGTGATATTGAAGGTGGGAGAGAGCGCTGTACATTCAATCCCCCCCCCTACAATCTCTGCCGGTACGAGACTCGAACCCGCAACCTTTGGGTTACGAGTACGACTCTCTAACCATTAGGCCACGACTTCCCCATAATTATGGATTATGGACTCATATTTTGGCCAGAAGAAGTGACAGTTTGAAGTTAAAACATTGCAAACGTATAACGTAAAAGTTAAAACTGATGGACTGGAGTGGTGTGGATTACTTGTGGATTATTGTGATGTTTTTATCAGCTGTTTAGACTCTCATTCTGACGGCACCCATTCACTGCAGAGCATCCATTGGAGAGCAAATGGTGCAATGCTACATTTCTCATCTACACTAACTTTTAAACAAATTAAAATTTTTGGTTGAACTATGCTGTTAAGAATGTAACTAGGGTTCATTTTGATTGCATGTTGACTTTAAGGACAGTGGATTTGGTTTGCGCTCACGCGGTATGGAGTCCAGCAGCTCTCGGACCAACAGCTGATGTCCGTGATGTGCTGCTAAGACGGCAGGGTTTTCTTCGCTGGGCTCCTGTGGAACCGTAACTCGAGCTTCCTGCAGCAAGAACCGAACGCCGTCCAAGTCACCGTTCTGAGCCACCAAACACAGGAGCTGCACCTACACACACAAACACACAGACTGTCTTCAGGAAAAGAGTTAAAGCAGTTTAAATCATCCTGTAATATCAATTCTTTTTAATCAAAACAGATGCTAGATTTGTTAATATTTACAGTAAATATTTCAGTAAATAAATACAGTACATTTCAATAAAATCAAGGTGGGAAAAAACTTTATTATAATATTTTTGCACTTCTGCAGGCTTGTTCGTCTCACATACTGGAAAATCTGTGGATTGTGTGAAACCACATGTCTGGTTACAGAGAAATCAACACTAGGTGGCAGTAATTCACCTTCTCAAATGACATTCCACGGACTGAATAGATTAGATTTTTTAATGTTTTTAAAAGAAGTCTCTTCTGCTCACCCAGGCGGCATTTATTTGATCAAAAATACAGTAAAAACAGAGAAATTGTAAAAACTTATCAGAATTTAAAATAAATGTTTTCTATTGCAATATATTGTAAAATGTAATTTATTTCTGTGATCAAAGCTGAATTTTCAGCATCATTGCTCCAGTCTTCAGTGTCACAAGATCCTTCAGAAGTCATACTAATATGCTGATTTGCTGCTCAAGAAACATTTCTGATTATTATCAGTGTTGAAAACAGTTGCGCTGCATCATATTTTTCATACACTGGAAACAAATTCTAAAAATCCTATTTAAGATAGAAACCTATTGTAACATTTTAAAAATTTTTACTTTCACTTTTGATCTATTTATTGCACTTTTGATGTATAAAAGTATTAATAAAAAAATTATAGTATTATATTACTGATTTAGTGCATAACTAAAAAATATAATTACAGCTAAAAACTGTAGTGTAGATGCACTGTGAGAATATTTGATTAATGTTTACATATAAATTCATGTTGTCCATAATGAACCTGGTGTTTACCTGGCTATGTTGAGAAAGCAATTCCTTAATGATTACTGAATACTGCTTTGTTTTCAACTACTGTGTGAAACAGCATTTTAAACAGTAGTATGCAACAGTAAGGTCACGTGACCTCATTACATATTCAGCAAGTGATGTTCAGTTATCGGTTTCAAAATTGAATTGGTCATTTTGCATTTTTATCCTCTTTTGTGTCAAATGACTGTACATTTTAACAGTCCAAATGTATGCTTAAAAAATAAGCAAACATGCTTCATTCGTTACACTGGAAATGAAAGCTCATGTCGAGGACTGCATTGGGGGGATACCGTTTTCATTCAAGTTTGCCCTGGATGCACACTGTATATTTAGACAAATGCAGTTGGTTATAGTAAGAGGCATATGCTAGTATTATATTTCAAACATAGTCATTCACTTCTAAATCATGATTTAATTTCAGACAAAACAGCTGTTTATATGCGAGTATGCACTTCCTCATTCTTGTACAGACTCGCTGTGGCCTACAGACACTAAAATAATCATTTTTTTCCCACTGATCTCTCAGAGTCTCTGAATCGGGGTTAGAAGTAAGTGCAAGACTATTTCGACTGCTATTTCTGCAGTTTGCAAACTGTATGCAGAATGCATATTTTTTTATTATCATACAGTTACTTTTACACAGTGTTTACAAAAAGTACACTTTCAAAGCAGCTTTTCAAACAAGTATCGCAGTACTGATATCAAATTAAAGAATTAAAAAGAAGAAAATATGCAAAAGTATGCAAAATGCAAAGATAATAAATACAGCGCTGCCCCCCCACTATAGGTAGTCACCTAATCACGCATTTATATTAATTTAATGAATTAAATACATACTAGGGGTGGGGAACTTAACCATAATGAGCTTTTATCATATAGCCTATTCTGCACTCGAGCGCATACATAAAGCACGCCACAAAGCACCGGTAAAAATAAAGTCTATGAATGTGTGGGGAAAAACAGTAATAAGATATTTTTCTTATTTATTAATAAACTAGTGTTTCCTCCGTCAGTGTGTCAGCTGCAAAGATGAAGTGGATGCTGACCCGTCAGAGAGAAATGCACCTTTCATATGGATTACACAATCAGAGATTATTTGTATTTTGCCTATATGCTGAATTTCGCCGTGCTCCAGTGCACGGAGACAGAAATGGCAGAAAGTGCTGTTTGTTTGCTTTATTTTACAAAAGCACATGTTCTTCTTGATATTGTGAGTGTATACAAATAAAAGCAGATCCCTGACAGTTTTGAATGATGCATTACTCTTATCCGAGCAAAAATAACGGCATATTTTGTTTCAAAAATGCCAACATGCAGTATGCGTGCTAATAGCTTTCCTCTCTTCACACAAACACTTGGATATGCGCCTACTAACGCAACATTTATCTTAGAGCAAACGGCCGTGTAAAGTTGCTACTACTTGCATGTTTTGCAGTGATAAGTCATATTTGAGGTTGATGAATGATAAGCGAACGTTTGGAGTTCCTGCCCGTTATGGACACAAACAGTTTTTTTTGCAACTAACCATCTAATAAAAATGTTAGGGGGGCAGCCCTAAAACACATAATGAAAATAACTTACATATAAAGAATAAAAATACATATATAAAATATAATAAATAACTAATATAATTTTAAAATTAACAATTTTATTTACATATAAAATCTAAATAAAATAAATAACTTGACCTTCTATACTTCATAAGTTACATCAAGTGTGATTTATTTTCATATTTTCTTCTTAATATTTTAAGCCATTATTTGATTAACTTAACTTAACTTTTTAAGTTGCTTTGGATAGATGATGTCAGCTAAATGAATAAAAATAAATAACCATTTTATGTATGTCAATTTCTGAATTAACCAGTACAAAAAAAATCATGACACAACAATGTTTAACATATTATTTAAAAAAAAACAATAAGTAGTGTACACTGCTCAGTATGCAGTATTTCATTCTGAATGTAGTCCACGTGTTTTTACAGTAACACACAGAAATATCTGAAACATAATATTTGCACACATTTCTAATCTCTGAGGCCACTGAAGCAGCAATTGAACGGGACTAATGTGATGAGTGTGGAAGCAGAAGCAGAGGATCAGATGTGGGTTTGTTAACTGATGGCCGGTTAGGAGCCATTACAGTCACATCATCAATCACTCATGGCCTCATTAGAGCCCTATAACAGTGTTTACAGAGGAATATCTCTGCACACTCCCTGACCACACGCTGTCATGTCATCTGTAATCACCTTACTGTGAACAAAGCCTTTCAAGAAACAAACACGCCTTATAATTAATCTTTCTGCCTCGCATAAAAATAAAATTCAAGTTTAGGATTTTTTAATGTTTTTGACATAAGTCTCTTATGCTTATCAAAGCTGCATTTATTTGATCAAAAATAGAGCCCAAAAAAATGGTAAAATATTAATAGAATTTAAAAAGCATTTTTGTATTTGAATATATTGTAAAATGTAATTTATTCCTGTGACGCAAAGCTGAATTTTCAGCATCATTACTCCAGTCTTCAGTGTCACATGACCCTTCAGAAATCATTCCAATATGCTGTTGCAAATGTCTTCTGATTGCTATGAAGGTGGTTGTTAAGGTGTTCTCAATGGTTGCTAACCATAAAAACCATAGGAACCAAGATAATAACAGTTTTAAATCCAAACACTCTCCTTGTCTGCCATTGGTCGGCTTAAACAGATAGTCCCGCCTCGAGCTCACATCATTGGTTGAGCCAAATCTTAACATAGTCAGGTGGTTCAAACAAACAGATCAGTGTCACAGTGTTTACACAACAGGGAAATAAACATGTAAATGGTTTATGTTATTTCTGCATATTAAGCTGTGACAGGAGAGCTACAGGAACTTGTTGTGAACTATGTGTTATTGCATTTGTAAGTGCACAGGTGTTTCTTTACAACAAAGCACCATCCTGGCAACCATCCACAATTTACAAGCAACTCTATGTGAAATACACAGCAAAATAAAAATGGCAGCTGTGGTTGCCAGAACTTTACTGTAAAAAAAAAATGGTAGCAAAATGTTAAATTTTACAGATTGAACAAATTTACAATAATGTTTATATACTAAACCTTTAGTATATATGGACAACCACCTTAAAAACACAGGTGGTAAAGAAAAAGTCACATGATAAATGTTCAAACACCAATAGCTTTTAAGCTGAGGTAAATACTAATATATAAAAGGTGCTCATGGTGTTATACATACAAATACAAACACTGGTAAACTCTAAGATGACTTCTTGTTTTTCACTTCCAAAAAATGTACATTTTTAAATTTACATGATATGTATGATTAGATCCATTGCAGTTTACAGAAACTTACTGTTAACCAATTGACAGTTTTTATTGTAGGATTTTTACAGTCTTTTACCGTAAAAAAAAAAAAAAAAGTATAATAGTGTCTGCTAATAGACTACTTACTGGCCACGTACACAAGATAAATTCAGGTGTCAATTCACCTTTTATTGCTGAATCCTGTTCTCTACACAAACACTTCAGTAATTTACAGAAGTGACTGCATTCTACAACCGAATTAACTCCTGAAAATGCAGGTATTAACAACCTCATTTATAGAAATTCTATGCATGTGTTTGGAACTGAACTGAACAACTAAATGTTAATGACATATTTAAATGCATATCAGAGTTGTGGTGCAGGAAATGACAGGGAACGAGGTACGTCTGGACTCATTCGTGTTGCCAGATCTCGCTATAAAAAACAGCAAATAAGAACAAGCCTATTGTAAACTTAAATCCAAACTAGAGTATGACCGATATTTGGTTTTACCGATATTTTTACCGATATTAAACAATTTTTCCATTATCGGATATCGGTTTTGTGATATCGGATTCACCGATATTCATCTTGTGTACGCAAGACTTCTATTACGGCACTGCATCTTGAAGAGAGACGAGCCAACAACCGCGTTTACAGGTAAAGTGACTTGATTTGCTTAAACTGATATGCTTTATTTAACATATCAGCCAATAATGCAAAAATTAGATGTGTTGCATAACTGACTGATATGTAGTTTAAGCTTGGCATTTAGAAATAGAGATAAACTCAAGGAGAGTCACACAATCCATGCCCCAAAAAAAGTCATGCCCAAAAGATGTAACTTTACATGGGTTAAATAAGACAGACAAATTAATTTGACTTACATAAGTCGAATTCTGTTCTGCACACACACACACAACTGTAATTTAGGGAATTCACTCCTGTATTTAAATGCGGTTGTCACTGAAACTTTACAGTGTGTATGTGGCCACTATTTTCAGCAATACTTTTCAATATTGCATGCATCATAATATATTGTGGATGCTTTTTTTTTCCCACAGAGCTTGTAGTAACGCAATATGGGACGCCCACCTGGCCATCATACTCTGGACAGGACTGAGAAATGTTTTGATGTTGCCACAAAAATCCCATCTGCTGCCAAACCCCCATAGCAGCTTCCAAAACACAACATATGCTGGTCCGTCAGCAGGTGAACTGCATGCACAATGCACCCGCTTCACTTCAGTGCTTATGTGAATGTTCAGTCAAAAATGAGAGTATAAAGTGAGCGAATGATCAAACTCACCCCATCCGGTCCCGCTCCGCCATTATTCTCGCAGGAAAGCCGGATTAGCTCGCGTGCCCTCTGGTCCTCACCATCCGTATAGGCCTCTTGGATGTTCTTCAGAGTGGGCGAATGACTCAAGGGAACGCTGCCAACCACCGACTGCTTGGCTCCCATCGCCGGAACGCCTGCGAACAGGGCATAGCCACCAGAAACAAACAAAGCACTCAGTACAAGAGAACGAATTTCATGCTAAAATGAAGACGACACGATGGGAAATGAGCCCCAGATACAGGAGGCGAGGGAGCAGCCGGGAATCAGGTCAGCCTCATAAAGAATTCACATGCTTTTCCCCCAGGACTGGTGCGTGTGAATTTGTGGAGCTGCGCTCTTCCATGTTCACCTTTGATGTAAAGAGCACCTACTCAGGGGTGGGAGTGAGATCGGGAAGATCTGGGGAGACTGAATGGATAGTGATACTCACACACAAGCGCTGCAGATTCAAACATGTCTAAAAGCAAACACACACACACACGCACACAAAAAATCTGGACACAAAACACACTTAAAATAAAAAAGGCATGTATGCTGGTACTGTAGTTTGCATGAAATATTTTTTGGGAAGTTGACATGCTCTGTGGTGACATGCAAAACTTAATCTAAAATAATTTTATGTGGCATTTTGATCATTCTTTTTTAATTATGCATGCAGTTTTGTCACCTCGTATTATTTTACAGACTAAATATAATATTTGTACTTTGAAAAAATTCATTTGTTAAATTAAAAGTACTCAAAAACTGTCAAATAAAAAATAAAAACAAACATTTCTAAAAAATAAAGGCTAAACATCCTGATGATGCTAAAAAAAATTTCATGCATCAAGCATCAACACATCCACTAAATTTATTCCAAAAATACAGCTAAATATGAATAAAATGACAGGTATAATTCCAACAGCTAGACAGACAGAGAGATTATTTATTAATATTTTGAATTAGCTTTTATTGTTTTCATTTGAATTTTTGTTTAAGTTTTATTCGTTTTTTATGTTTCAATTTCAAGCTTGAATTCTTCCCCCCCAATTTTAGTCCGGTAACTTATTTTATTTCAGTTAGTTGCTAAGGCAACATTTCAGTTGCGATAGAACGATAGATAGAACAATAGAACAACCAATAGATAGAACGATAGATAGAACGACAGAACGAAAGATAGAATGACAGAACGATAGATAGATAGATAGATAGATATTTAACTTCAGAAGCTTGAAATATAGAGCATGAGGCTTTTATGGTGATTTTATGGTGTTGTTAGAATTAAAATGACATGAGGGTGAGTAATTGAGACCGAATTATCATTTTAGGGCAGACTTTATTAGTCTGTATGATTATCGAAAGAGCACATCATGAGTTGTCATTGCTCTGTGTAGATCAGCGGCCGGACTACGGTGTGCGGGAGTGTAATGATACCAATCCAAGAGGGCAGTGAAGGTCAAATCAATCACCCCCTCCTATTATTCACATTACTCCATCCAGCCCTTTAACATTTATCTGGCAAATGTGGCCGTCGGCAGACACTGCTCCATTAACAGCAGGTCTGCTCCGATGTAAAGGAGCCGGAGCTGTGGGTAAGTGCCTGTGCGCTTTAATAGAAGAGGCTCATATGAATAATTGAGAACGTTTTTCTGATGAGCGGCTGGAGAAAGCCTGAGGGAGGGTAACCATTAGACATCCAGCACTGCATCAATACAGGCTTAGCTCACGTCCCACCCAGAACAAATCAACCTGGAGGAAAAACCAAAGCCAAGACAATAGCTGCTCTGAAATCTAACAAGCTAGAAACCTAGACAGATTTTAAGATGCTCCTACTGTGAAGGAAATATAAGCATAAATACGGATCAAGGTTTGCTTCATCACCAAAGTGGCTTGAGTGAGTCGCTTCAAATCACCAACTCTCTATTAAAACGAATAACTTGTGTCACTGTCAGTGTGAATGCGTGTTAAAAGGATAGTTCGTCCAAAAATGAAAATCCTGTCATCATTTACTCATTTAAACAGTTGCCGGTAGCCATTGACATACTATGGAATACTATAGAAGTCCATGGCTAAGGGCAACTGTTTGGCTACCAATATTCTTAAAAACATCTTCTTTTGTGTTCAACAGAAGAAAGAAACTCATGCAAGTTTGGGACAACTAGTGGGTGAGTAAATGAGAGAATTTTCACTATAACTTCAAGGCACATACTGTAACTTAAAATAAAATAAAAAACTGCAAAATGCATCAGAAAAAGATCAAATGGGAGAATCGTAGCCTATAAATACCCTTAGATTTCATTAAATAATTAAACGCAGACAATTTAAACAATATTTGTGTTGTGTATTTACTGGAGTTACCGTATCATTAACTCTGTAACATGGCATTTCAGCAATTTTGTTGTTTTTGTTATTTTTTAATTAAATGTATTTTTTTCAGTAATTAATAATATTAGATAGGCCGATAGATAAATGTTAGAATTGGAGACTATAAACACATTAATAACTGAAAAGTATAGATAAAAATGGCAGTAATTTAAAAAAATGCTAATTACTACGCCTGCGAACAGGGCATAGCCACCAGAAACAAACAAAGCACTCAGTACAAGAGAACGAATTTCATGCTAAAATGAAGACGACACGATGGGAAATGAGCCCCAGATACAGGAGGCGAGGGAGCAGCCGGGAATCAGGTCAGCCTCATAAAGAATTCACATGCTTTTCCCCCAGGACTGGTGCGTGTGAATTTGTGGAGCTGCGCTCTTCCATGTTCACCTTTGATGTAAAGAGCACCTACTCAGGGGTGGGAGTGAGATCGGGAAGATCTGGGGAGACTGAATGGATAGTGATACTCACACACAAGCGCTGCAGATTCAAACATGTCTAAAAGCAAACACACACACACACACGCACACACACAAAAAATCTGGACACAAAACACACTTAAAATAAAAAGGCATGTATGCTGGTACTGTAGTTTGCATGAAATATTTTTTGGGAAGTTGACATGCTCTGTGGTGACATGCAAAACCTAATCTAAAATAATTTTATGTGGCATTTTGATCATTCTTTTTTAATTATGCATGCAGTTTTGTCACCTCGTATTATTTTACAGACTAAATATAATATTTGTACTTTGAAAAAATTCATTTGTTAAATTAAAAGTACTCAAAAACTGTCAAATAAAAAATAAAAACAAACATTTCTAAAAAATAAAGGCTAAACATCCTGATGATGCTAAAAAAAATTTCATGCATCAAGCATCAACACATCCACTAAATTTATTCCAAAAATACAGCTAAATATGAATAAAATGACAGGTATAATTCCAACAGCTAGACAGACAGAGAGATTATTTATTAATATTTTGAATTAGCTTTTATTGTTTTCATTTGAATTTTTGTTTAAGTTTTATTCGTTTTTTATGTTTCAATTTCAAGCTTGAATTCTTCCCCCCCAATTTTAGTCCGGTAACTTATTTTATTTCAGTTAGTTGCTAAGGCAACATTTCACTTTTTTTTTTTTTTTACGTTTTTAGTCTAAAAATTGCATTTTATTTCAATTAATGAAAACAACAGATAATACAAAACTGTTTTAATACTTCAGACAGAACAACAGAAAGAACTATAGATAGAACGATAGAACAACCAATAGATAGATCGATAGATAGATAGAACGATAGCTAGAACAATAGAACAACCAATAGATAGAACGATAGATAGAACGACGGAACGAAAGATAGAACGACAGAACGATAGATAGATAGATAGATAGATAGATAGATAGATAGATAGATAGATAGATAGATAGATAGATAATGATGCTAAAAAAAATTTCATGCATCAAGCATCAACACATCCACTAAATTTATTCCAAAAATACAGCTAAATATGAATAAAATGACAGGTATAATTCCAACAGCTAGACAGACAGAGAGATTATTTATTAATATTTTGAATTAGCTTTTATTGTTTTCATTTGAATTTTTGTTTAAGTTTTATTCGTTTTTTATGTTTCAATTTCAAGCTTGAATTCTTCCCCCCCAATTTTAGTCCGGTAACTTATTTTATTTCAGTTAGTTGCTAAGGCAACATTTCAGTTGCGATAGAACGATAGATAGAACAATAGAACAACCAATAGATAGAACGATAGATAGAACGACAGAACGAAAGATAGAATGACAGAACGATAGATAGATAGATAGATAGATATTTAACTTCAGAAGCTTGAAATATAGAGCATGAGGCTTTTATGGTGATTTTATGGTGTTGTTAGAATTAAAATGACATGAGGGTGAGTAATTGAGACCGAATTATCATTTTAGGGCAGACTTTATTAGTCTGTATGATTATCGAAAGAGCACATCAATAGATAGATAGATAGATAGATAGATAGATAGATAGATAGATAGAACGATAGATAGAACAATAGAACAACCAATAGATAGAACGATAGATAGAACGACGGAACGAAAGATAGAATGACAGAACGATAGATAGATAGATAGATAGATAGATATTTAACTTCAGAAGCTTGAAATATAGAGCATGAGGCTTTTATGGTGATTTTATGGTGTTGTTAGAATTAAAATGACATGAGGGTGAGTAATTGAGACCGAATTATCATTTTAGGGCAGACTTTATTAGTCTGTATGATTATCGAAAGAGCACATCATGAGTTGTCATTGCTCTGTGTAGATCAGCGGCCGGACTACGGTGTGCGGGAGTGTAATGATACCAATCCAAGAGGGCAGTGAAGGTCAAATCAATCACCCCCTCCTATTATTCACATTACTCCATCCAGCCCTTTAACATTTATCTGGCAAATGTGGCCGTCGGCAGACACTGCTCCATTAACAGCAGGTCTGCTCCGATGTAAAGGAGCCGGAGCTGTGGGTAAGTGCCTGTGCGCTTTAATAGAAGAGGCTCATATGAATAATTGAGAACGTTTTTCTGATGAGCGGCTGGAGAAAGCCTGAGGGAGGGTAACCATTAGACATCCAGCACTGCATCAATACAGGCTTAGCTCACGTCCCACCCAGAACAAATCAACCTGGAGGAAAAACCAAAGCCAAGACAATAGCTGCTCTGAAATCTAACAAGCTAGAAACCTAGACAGATTTTAAGATGCTCCTACTGTGAAGGAAATATAAGCATAAATACGGATCAAGGTTTGCTTCATCACCAAAGTGGCTTGAGTGAGTCGCTTCAAATCACCAACTCTCTATTAAAACGAATAACTTGTGTCACTGTCAGTGTGAATGCGTGTTAAAAGGATAGTTCGTCCAAAAATGAAAATCCTGTCATCATTTACTCATTTAAACAGTTGCCGGTAGCCATTGACATACTATGGAATACTATAGAAGTCCATGGCTAAGGGCAACTGTTTGGCTACCAATATTCTTAAAAACATCTTCTTTTGTGTTCAACAGAAGAAAGAAACTTCTGAGAGTGAGCACATTTTCCTTTAATGCGATTTAGTTTGAACTGTCAGTTTCAATGAATCAATTAAAAATCTGACTTAATGATTCATTTGCATAATCACTCTTAAATGTTCACTAAAGTCTCAACATGGCCTACTGCGTATATAAATGCACAAATATCGAGATATATGTTAAATGTATTTAAAGCCTGAAAAATATCAATCTGTAATTTTAGCTCAAAATGTGACACAATGCAAACCTCTTGAATTTCAGCTCTTGAAAAGTCACTTAAACACTCATTAGCATATAAATGAGACACATTAACACTTACTCAGAATCTGCTGATTAGATCAAAGTCATCTAAATTACACTTTTTTTCATTCTTTCTCCAGTGCAAAAAGCTATTTTTGATCACATTTAATCCCCTTAAAATATAGACATTTTTGACGAGACACTAAAATCTTGTTTTCGACTAACTTCAACTAAGAAAAGAACAAGCTATCAAGACCATTTAAACCACGTGACAAATCAGACAATGTGAGTGACGCCAACAAAGAAATCTAAGAAACAAAAATAAACAACTTCCTTGTTAAAGCGCAATCTCTCTTATAAGTTCAGAGAATTCAATTACAGAATTTGAAAGCATTGAGTCAATGAAAGGTTCACCAATAGTATCACTTCCTAACCACAATTCACACTGACCTGAAACGCTGAAAAACGAGACATTCACAATGCAAACATACCTTATCATTCTGCCCGGATCTATCCGGCAATCATCTCATTATTGTCTGTCAGAAGTCCAGAGGCTCGATGTACGTCCAGTACCTGTGAGCATTAGCCCGACTCTGTGCCTATAGAGCAAAATGATGCTTCACACAATGAGCCTCCCGTCTCCTCCCTGTGTGCTGTCCTTAATGGCAAGGTTATCTTACACTGCATACACATTGAAGAGTGAAACCCAACCCTCACGGCCGGCTGCTGTGTCTCTGTCCCTCCCTAGAGGACCTCAGACTGGGTTTGCAGCTACAGCTCAAGCCACACTAAGCCAGATTAGCACACTGGCCTCCTTCTGCAACGTGTGTTTCTGTCACACGAGACCAGACGACACACTCAATCACACAAACACACACAGACGTGACAGGACTCAGACATGAGTCGCACCGCACTAACACACACCGATGGACGCACGCGAACTCACGGTTGCTAATGGCAACGGTGTTGCTGATGCTGAGTCGGCGGGAAAATGGAAACCCAACACCTATGACATGAGGTTTCACCTCTGGGGGGATATTGACTGTTTTTTGTGGGATGCTTACTTCATTGGTTTTCTGGAAAAATGCAACCAAGCACAGCACAGAAACTCCATATATTTGATATCTATAGGGTCATAGAAAAATATAGTTGTTTGGACCAAATCTAATTTTTTTGTTGTTGTTGTTGTTAATTGACCAACAACAATTATCATCAAATATTGAATCAGAAGTTGAGACACACTTGACTGGATTTGTTTCATATGATGACTGAAGCATTTAGCAATTTTTTGTCAGACATAATACTCCCTGAGGAAAAGATGCCACTGTTAAAATATCTACCACAATTTAATTTGATTTATATGTTGCAAACAATTATATATCTAGACCACATTTTTTTTTCACTTTCAATATTCAGCATATAGAAATATTAAAATAAAATATAAATTAAAATAAATAAATGCCTCTCGATATTCAATAAATAAATAAATACATTTATTTATATAGATTTGGAGACCAACTCATTCTTTATTGACTATTTTCAACATTCCACATAAAAATAGAAAAGAAAAAAACGCCTCTATATATTTGATCAATTAAAAAAAGGAAATATGTAACGCATAATATATTAATAAATTAATTTATCAAAACTATTAAATAACACAAATGGATATATATATATATATATATATATATTAGTGCTGTCAAATGATTAATCGCATCCAAAATAAAAGTTTTTGTTTACATAATATATGTGTGTGTATTGTGTATATTTATTATGTATATGTAAAAGACACACATACAGCATATATTTTGAAAATATTTACATGAATTTGCATGAATATATTTATATTCATATAAATTATATCATATATAAATATATTTGATATATAAACGTAACATTTTTCTTAAATATATATACATGTGTGTGTCTTTATATATACATAATAAATATACACAGTACACATATATTATGTAAACAAAAACTTTTATTTTGGATGCAATTAATTATGATTAATCATTTGACAGCACTAAGATAGAGAGAGAGAGAGACAGACAGACAGACAGACAGACAGATAGATAGATAGATAGATAGATAGATAGATAGATAGATAGATAGATAGATAGATAGATAGATAGATAGATAGATAGATAGATAGATAGATAGATAGATTAATACATGAATTTATCACAACTATGAAATAACACAAATTTATATATATAGTAGTGATAAAAACTGCTTAGCAAATCCAAAATACATATGTCTACAAAACTAGTTTTAGCAGTTTAGCACTTTTGATTGCTAGTGCATATTTAAAAAGCAGTTTTTGGCTAATTCAAAATGAGATATTAGCAGCTATTAGTCAGTTATCAAAAACAAATGAGATTGAGCACAATCAGCTATAAATCTGTGGTCATGCCTGTATTAATCAGTAGCCAAATCTGAATACAGTTTGAGAGCTGAACGCACTGTACATATAATGCTAACATACAGACCGATCTCACATTCAAACTTAAAGGATTAGTTCACCCAAAAATGAAAATTAGTCCATAAATTACTCACCCTCAAGTCATCCTAGGTGTATATGACTTTCTTCTTTCAGACGTTATATTAAAAATTGTCTTTGATCAAGCTCTTTCAAGCTGTTTAATGCCACTCAGCGGGTGTTGCATGCATCAGTCCAAAAGGAGTGAAATAAAAAGCGCCCATCCATAAGAAAAAGTGTCTCACACGGCTCCGGGGGGTGAACAAAAGCCTCAGAGGGCGGATGACGTATGAGGTCAGCGTAGCGCACGCGCCGGTGAGTCTCGTGAAAACCAACGTTTGTTTACAGGAGCAAAGGAAGCAAAGTTTCCTTACTTTAGCAAAGGAAAACCAGTCTCCTCTTGGCTTATATCGAAATCCTCCGACAATCGTCTTTACAAATCCTCGTTTTGTACTTCTAATAAGTGACCGTTCTTTTTTGATCTCTCCGCTGCGCTTCCACTTCTGAGCGGCGCATGTGCAACGCCGACCTCATACGTCATCCGCCCGAAACTGCTTCCGTGTACAACAGTGAGTGCAAGCTACATTGAAGTGATTATTAAGTTTTGAATATGGATATTTTTCTTACAAAAACGCATCAATTCGCTACAGGAGGCCTTTGTTCACCCCCCGGAGCTGTGTGAGACACTTTTTTTAATGGATGGGCACTTTTTATTTAACTTCTTTTGGACTGATGCATGCATCACCTGCTGAGTGGCATTAAACAGCTTGAAAGATCAAAGACACTTTTTAATATAACTCCGACTGGATTCGTCTGAAAGAAGAAACTCATTCACCTAGGATGACTTGAGGGTGAGTAATTTATGGACTAATTTTCATTTTTGGGTGAACTAACCATTTAAGTATATGTGAGAGGAAGTGACGTTCGCTGCTATAAACACCTATCTGAAGACCAGCCAAGTTTCACTTCATATTTCTATATATATTGTGCAGACTGTGAAGTTCCTCGAACCATAACTGCACTACAGATGGTGTCTCAGGTTTCAGAGGGGTGAAAAGAACAACTAAATCCATATACACGCTGCTCCTTACATGCTACACCAGGCCCATTTTATATCACTCTCAGTGCTACAATACCATACTCTCACATGACACAGTAAAGTTGCTGAAACTGGTGTTTCGCTCAGAGGGAAATATTAACATTCATAGTGGTATGATTATGCAAAATGACTGATTCAACAAACTACACCACATGCACTGGCAACATGCCGTTTGTAAAGCAATGAGGAAGTTTCTCTAACTTCATGCCTTCGCTGAGAAAAATGTCACTGTTTTTAGGGTTTATAGAGGATCTACTGTGAATCTTTCTGTGTGAGATGTTTTGGGTTTTTTTGCAAGTAGATTACTGCCAGATAGGGCCCAAAATGAACACTGAATAAGGTGAAAATGTGACAAAATATACAAAGGAAAAAAATGTAAGGAATACATTGAAGGAAACAGAATACATCAATAATGTGTACAAAAATAGCTTAACTACAAGATGGAAATAATTATTAATATGGATTAAAACGAACAAATATGTGCAAATGGGCTCAGAAAAATCAACTTATCATTGACCGATATATGTTCCTGTTTTAAGCATAAACTCACTTTGTTTTAATACATTTCTACATGGAAAAATGAATAAACAGCTTGAATATTTGATTTCTACACGTGGGCGGGAATTAAACGCCCCTTTCTGTTGATTGGTCAGCCAAAGATCAAACCGTGCCATCATCAGTTCTTCTGCAGTATCACGCAGCAGAATAATAGTCCTCTGCTGCTGCAGTTGTACGGATTAATAACCCATTTTATCAATTTCATATTTTTCTCATAAAACAGACTAATGAATAGCTCGACACAACTCGTACCGGGGCAGAGTCTAGACAGGTCTTTCTTCTGTGTAGACCAGCAGTTCTTAAAGTGATAGGGGGTCTGAGAAATAATTTGCTATAGCCTAAAGTATTTCCAGACTGTAAAGTCACTTTTTTTTTATCATGATACATAGGCCTACTGTGATTTATTCCAAAGTGACTTATATGATGCATTTAATGTAAAATAATCTAAATGAAGCCTTTTAAAAGACAAGTATTCCCTGTGGTTCATGTTTGTGGCATGCGCCGGACAGATGCTCAAGGAGACCGAGACGTGCAAAGCAGCACATTCTGTTGTTCTCTTTATTTTTATCTTGCGTGACATTTTGTAGTTATTTTGAATGTAATGTTACACAATTAAAAATATAAATTTTACCATAGGACTATAAATGACAAGAGTATTAAGTTATTTCCCCTTGATGGGGAAAAAAATCCAAGTGAACATCAATCAGTACTCAATATTAATTATAACTGCTTTAAATATGACTGCTGCTTATTTCCTGTGCACTTCAATACTGGTCTGCGCTTTTGGTGAGAAACAAATGGAACCTTAATGTTGTTCTAAAGGCTTATTACTTAATAACACAAAAATGTCCTGCTAGCGCTTGCCAATTTAAATGACAGAGAATGGTGACTTCAGGTTTTTTTTGTTTGTTTTTTGAAGCGGATGCATATCTGTTGTAAAATAATCCTATGCATCTCCTGGCATATATTCCAAGCATTCTGAAGGTATGGTGAGAAACAAACTGAAATGGCAAGTTATTATATTTTATGAAAATCTTGCGTTGCAGTGCTCACGCTGCGCACAGGTGCATATCCTTTTGAGATATCGATTATAATCAATTTTAATAAAACACAAGACTACATTATATAACTCTAACAGTAGGCTATTTAATATCTGTTGTTCTCCGGTTGTCAGTCAGAATGACAGTTCTTGCGTGAACATAGGCCTGTATATACCCAAGCCAATTTATTATTCTTTCCTTTTTGTCTTAGTGTTTAAAATATTTATTTTGAAACAAATTAATTAATTAATTTCTTAATTAAACAAACAAACAGACTTACTGGGTGAGCAGGGTAGGCTATGACAGCTGTCATATCATACCCTGCCATGCCCAGCTGATGCAAAGAATAGAATTTTGTTCATTTGTTCCAACAAAACGAAAAATCAAGAATTTGGCTTCATTTTTCTTTTTTACGTTCAGGGATAGAAAACAAATAAGCAACTTGAATATTCGATCTCTACATGTGGGCGGGAATGAAACGCCCCTCTCCGCTGAACATAATACACATAATAATAGTCCTCCGCTTCTATGAATTCTTAACGTGT